TATTTAATAATCTATTTTTTTCTTATTCTCCTGTCTTATCCATCTCTCTTCTTCTCTTTCTTTACTCCTTTTTCTTCTCTTAATCTCTTTTCTTTATTTATTCTTTTAATCTCTTTTCTTACTTAATATTTTGGCCAACTTAAAACTAGTGGGTTGGATTTCACTAAGTTGTGTGGGTTGGCGAGTCCTGTGTCAGTGCTTCATGGAATGCTCTACCTTGATTGTACCCCTTTTAAACTCCTGCCAAGATCTCTTAGTTTCTCCCTAAAGTTAACAGTAAAAGTATCTCCCAAGAAAATGTGTACAGCGTTCTCTCTTTATGCTATCTCTAGGTATTAAAGAACCAAAAGCTCTGCACAGTTTCAGTGGATGAAGTTTTGGAGTCTTGAATACATTTTAAAAGAAATACTACCAGTTAAGCAGTTGGGCTTCGGGTCTTACAGAAACCTGTTCCAGCATGGGCTTCTCTCTCCATGGCTCAGCAGGTCCCTGCCAGGAGCCTGCTCCAGCGCAGGCTTCCCATATGTTCACAGCCTCCTTCTGGGCATCCACCGGCTCCAGCGTGGGTCTCCTCCATGGCTGCAGGTGGATCTCTGCACTCCTGTTGACCTTCATGAACTGCAGGGCCACAGTTGGCTCACCATGGTCTGCTCCACAGGCTGCAGGGGAACCTCAGCTTCAGCATGTGAAGCATCTCCTAGCCTTCCTTCTCCACTGACCTTGGAATATACATAGTTGTTCCTTTTGCACATTCTCACTCTGCTCTTCTCTGGTTGCGATTACTTTTGCGCAATAATGGGGTTTTTCCCTTCTTAAATATGTTATCATAGAAATGTTACCATTATTCCTGACTGGCTTGGCCTTGGTCAGCAGTGGGTCCATCCTGGAGCTGGCTGGCATTGGCTCTACCAGCTGTGGGGGAACCTTCTCGTAACTTCTCACGGAAGCTAACCTTGTAGCCCCCCAGCTACCAAAACCTGGTCATGCAAACCCAATACAACAGTGACTCAGGCAGAGAAAGGCACAGAAAATTTAGGATTTTAAATATGAATAGAGCCAAGAGACTTAAAAGAAAAATAAGGAACAAACTTGAAGTGGAGACGAACAAGTAGTATCCATTCTGTATAGAAATTGCTCAATTTAAGTGCTGCTGACTGAAAAGTAAGACCTCGTTTTCTAGTGTGATTTCATTTGGGCATTTTTTGTTTCTTATAATTCTTACAAAACACAACTTTAAAGACTGAAAGATAAAAAGATTGACTATGCTTTGTTTTAGTTTGTTCTATAGACAGAATGGACCAGTTCTACTCCGTGGCCTTGGCTGCCTGGGGTCCTATCACTTTTGTAAGCTCTTTTTCCAGATACTAAAGCAAGCGCAAAAGAAACTCTGGCATAATATCCACAATCTGATTGTAGGCTAAGAAAAAAGAAAAATATAGAAATTATCCACCAGAGAAAGAAAATTTGTACTATTTCGTGGTGGTATAAAACAAAAATTGATAACATGGGACAACTCAAAGATACCAAGTAAATGGAAAAAACTACACCTGGTACTAATTCTAGAATTTCTATCGGAAAATTATGGATATGTATTGTTGAATCACACAATTTAATCAATAAATAAAATGTATTAGCTGATGAGAAATGTTGAAGAGGTGACAGAATAGCTCTCAGAATAGAACCTGTGTCCTAATCAGATGAGAAACATATATTCTATCAAGCAAATGAGTCAAACTGTAATTCAATAGCTTTAAAACACCAACCTAGATATTATGAATCACCCTCACAAAAAAAAGGGACATTGTCTACCTCCATATAATAGTGTGGACAGTTTCTTCTATAACTCTTCTTTTGTGTCATAACCCATGTTATTGACGAGCTGATGCAATAACAGACTTAAGTCCCTATCTAATGTAGATACACTGTAACATTTAATTTTATGCATGGTTCCCAGAATGAAATAAAAATGTCAGTGCTAAGCACATACAACCTATGTACAAGGCATGAAGATCATCTTGGATGGGTAATAAAAATAAACCCATATGATGAAAAAGAAGCAAAAAATAAGACCTGAGGAAGTGTTGATCATTAAACTTACCTGGAATTCAATGCTGTGTCTGGAACTTGAGTCCCAAAAACCTAGGCATCATTCTTCATTTTGGATTCATGTCTGAAATTCATTCCTGGATCTAGACTGCAATAATTGCTTTTTCAAAGAATGAGATATCCTGGATAGGGTTTAAGGTACATTTACATTTTGGAAGAATGAATTGTGCTTTTCATGAGAAAAACATTTGGTTTAACCCTCCTACCCCAACGAATTCTCTTTTCTTCATTCAGAATTGTTTGTAGGTTTGCCTGATGACTATTCCACTATGCTGGTTTTGGCTGAGGTAGAGTTAATTTTTTTTACAGTGGTTAGTATGGGGCTCTGTTTTGGATTTGTGCTGAACACAGTAAGGATAATAGAGATGTTTTTGTTATCTCTGAGCAGCGCTTACACAGAACCAAGGCCTTTTCCGCTTTTTGTACTGCCATGCTGGCAAGGAAGTTGGAGGTACATGGGAAGTTGGGAAGAGACAGATGACCTCAGATGACCAAAGGGATATTCTACACCATATGATATCATGCTCAGTATTTAAAACTGAGGGAAGAAGGAGGATGGATGGGATGTTTATATTGATAACACTTGTCTTCCCAAGTCGGCGTTGTGCATGATGGGCCCTGCTGTCCTGGAGATGGCTGAACACCTGCCTGCCCATGGAAAGAAGTAAATTAATTCCTTGTTTTGCTTTGCTTGCATGCATGGCTTTTGCTTTCCCAGTTAAACTGTCTTTATATCAACCTACAAGTATTCTAGATTTTAGCCTTCCAATTCTCTCCTTGATCCTACTGGCAGGGGAGTGAGCGAGTGGCCCTGTGGGGCTTAGTTGCCAGCTGGGCTTAAACCACAACATCCACACATAAAAAAATGCTGGTAGAAAATAATCAGTTATGATCCCCTGGTAGGGGACTAGTTCAACAACCGTACTGTGGAGCTATTCTTCCTTAGAGTGCTTTCCTGATCCTGCACATCTCCTACAGTTCTGCAGTCAACAGGACTATATCAACAGGATCATGGGTCTATATCTCCATACAACTCCACCTGACTCACCCTTTGCTGCACACTCTGTAAATTGAGTTTTTAAGTTACACTCCCAGCAAGTGGCAATACTGGGTTTCATCTCCTTTATGTTAGAAAAATCAGAAAGACTGTGATCCTCTATTTTTTCAGTGATTGCCCTACCTACCAGAGAGAAAAGTGAGGTGGGAAGGAAAAAATTATTCCAGTCAGATTTTAAAAAGAAAGCAGATTCAGCAGCATTTTATTATATGCTTAATTCAACTTCATTGAGTTCCTACATTCTAGATCCCAATAAGGTGTAGGTGGATGATCTTAGCCTGAGCAGTTCTGGGTATGCACAAAAAGAAGAAATTATAATAATAAGGACATTTCAGGCTGGACATGAACACTGAATTTTAAACATTTTTACATATAGTCAGATACTAAGCGAAGATTTCTTTACATAGTAATCCCGGTTGTAGTGTACATTTGCACTGCTCAGCAGAGAGCAGGTTCACAGGAAGGATAATGCATGTTCCTTGGCAAGCAGCCCATACAGTTTAAATCCATTACACTCTATATGACATTTAAAATGAGTCCTAAAGTCCCTATTGATCAGTTCCATATGCATCAAAGCCACCTGCAGCATATGGTATTCAGCTGTACAAAATAGCCCAAACAGACTTATCTGCCCCATATTCACCATAAGGCATCACCCCAAGAACCTTTTGGAATATACATATAAAACAGACTTGAAATTGACAAATTCAGGGCCGCATCATCCCCAGGCCCATGACTGCTGCAAGAAGAGGAATGAAATGCCAAGAACGCTTCTACTGCTTTTCAGAATCACTCAAAAAATGGAACCATGTGTATTTGGTGAAGGGCCTGGACCCACACTTAAAACCATATACATATTTTTTGAGACTTCCTGAGTCTTGTTTTGGGTCCCTAGTATCCTTGAAACTGACCTTTGAGGACCCATTTTGAAAGGTTCTCACAGGCAAAAAAATCTGTAGCTAAACAGTCATTTAGAATCTACATATAAGCAACACTCAGTTCTTAATTTCATATTCAAGTGGCATTGAAATATTGTTTGAAAAAGCCAGATAAAATTAAAATATTATTTTCATTTAACTGAAATCAGCAAAATTGATCTACAGTTAACTGGATAAAAATGGTTTCACAGTGAAATTACATATTTTTCAATGTATGGCAAATTTACAAAGAGCAACAGAAAGAATTAAAAAAATTAAAAATATAATTTAAATTATACAAATGCAATAAAGTAGATTCACATTCTGAATTATGACAGTTATGTATCATTCAGAAAAAGAAACGTTATTGACATGACAAAACCAGGTAAAAAATAATTATCCTGGAAAAGTAAAAGAGTAAAGGAGGTGTGGAGACTGTTAAGTAACATTCTGAAGTTCCTATTACACATAAAATATATTTAAAAATACCTTTACAAAATAATCACAAGCTCAGTGAAAGTGCATTTAATAAAATACTCTTAGTCATCTAGAATCTACCTGCAGACATGAAATCTACTAACGTAGGAGACCTATGGCTGCTGAATCTCATCCTGAGTGCTCACTTGCATTCCCCAAAAAAATCAGTTCTGATATTAGTTTATCCCTTTTCTGTACGGTTTTAATTTGACTATCATTTGTGTCAAACAATAAAGTATTGGGTCTTGTAACTTCATCAGCTACAGATCATAACCCTTTTTCATTCAAATTAATCTGTTAGTTAGACTCAGGAACCGAATAGTGTAGAAACAAATTTCTTAAATACATCAGTACAATAGTAAGGTTTTGATGACAACTAAGGCCCCATTTTGTGTAAAAAGAAAATAATAGTTTTATAAGTATAATGAGAAGAGCGAGGGATGATTCATTCTAGTATCCTTAGAAAGAAATGAAAAAGAATTATATCTTACCAGACAAGGGAATTGTCCACCTCCATGTGATTACTACGTTAAAAAAGGGAAGAGTAGGAAAAACTATTTTGGACAGAGAAATACCAATGCAAAGTAAAATGACAGATCACTAAATCTTATGGAATGTTTTTAAAGAATATTGAAATATTTTTAAATAATATTGAAAAGAATCATAAGCAGTATCATTTAAAGAAATTAGAAAATAAGCTTTGAATTCATTGCATACATATATGTCTATATAAAGGCAAGATACATTAAAAAAATAGTTATGACTAGTTTATTCCTTAATCAATTGTAAAAAAAATCAAAATAGGTGAGTAAATACAACTATGTTACATACTCTATTACCTACCTCATTTGTCAGGAGTCAAACAGAAATGATCTTCTATAGCAGTAGCAGCAGTCAAACTGTGTGTTTAATATTGAAGCAATCAGATGAGCAACCACTGAATTAGCCCTGGGAGTCTCAAAACTCACAAGCAATGTTCCAGGTGGATTCATGCACTACTGCTTTATAAAACAGAAGAGGTAAAAATGGAATAGAAAGGACTATTCCTACCTGTATAAGGATCAACAGTCATTTTAGGAACCATTTTGAACTGTACCGTTGAGTCCCTTCTGTGCTTTAAACTGGGATAGGTCTGTTAATTCAATTCACTGATTTCATCTGCATTATGCAGGCATCAAAATGAAGAAAACCTGTATTGAGACAGGCAACTATTTCCAAAATTCTTTGGGGATCTCACATATCTATTTACTCCTCTTCCTGTTCCCTCTACTGAACAATCATTGTCATTGTTTTTGTTTTTACTCTTCTCCATCCATGCTTCTACTATCTTTGACAAGCTCCTTTGGAGTTATATTGCTTCCATTGAGGACAATGCAATGACTTCCGTCCATTTTAATGGTCCAATACAAAGGTGCAATGTACTAACTCTTTACAGAATTTGGAGGGGATCTTAAAGATCATTTTGTTCCTATCTCCTGCTTCGGGCAGGGACAACTTCCTCTACACCAGGTTGCTTGGAGGCCCATTCAGCCTGACCTTGAACATTTCTAGGGATGGGGCATTCACAACTTCTCTGGAAAATCTGTTCCAGTGTCTCACTACCCTCACAGTAAAGAATTTCTTCCTAATATCTCATCTAAACCTGCCCTCTGTCAGTTTAAAGCCATTAACCCTCATCCTACCACTACATACCTTTGTAAAAAGTTCCTCTTCTAGATTTCTTATAGGATCCCTTTAAGTACTTAGAAGGCTCCTATAAAGTCCCCCAGGATCCATCTCTTCTCCAGGCTGAACAAGCAACTTTTTCAAACTGTCTTCATAGGAGAGGAGCTCAAGCTCTGTGATCAGCTTAGTGGCCATCCTCTGGACCCGCTCTAACAGGTCCATGTTCATACATGCAGGCCTCCTGCTAGTTTTGCCCAGCTTTCTTATTGTTGGTATGCATCTCTCCTGAGCTTGGAAGAGGTGACCCCTGAATATTAACCAGTTTTTTCAGGCCTCTGATTCCTCCAGGGCTTTATCCCATGGTAGATCAAGCAGATACCTGGGGAGGCCAAAGTCTGATCTTCTGAACTCCAGGGTAGTGAGCTTGCTGTGTACCCTCCTTGCTGCCCAAAGGATCTCAAACTCCACCACTTCATGGTCACGGCAGCCCAGGCTGCCCTTGAGCTTCACATTCCCCACCAGCAACTCCTTGTTGGTTAGAATAAGGTCCAGCATAGCACCTCTCCTTAATGGATCCTCTGCCACTTGGAGAAGGAAGTTATCATTTTTGGAGTAGAAGTTATCATCAATGCATTCCAGGAACCTCCTGGATTACGTATGCCTTCTTGTGCTGTCCCTTCAACAGACATGGTTGAAGACCTCCATGAGGACCAGGACTTGTGAACATGTGGCTGCTCATGCCTGTCTGTAAAGGCCCTCATCCACTCAATCTTCCTTATAGGGCAGTCTGTAGCAGACCCCCACTGTGATGTCACCTGTCCCTGCCTTCCTTTTAATTCTGACCCAGAGGCTCTCAGTCAGCTCCTCATCAATCCCCAGGTAGAGCTCCATGCACTCCAACTCATCATTGACATAGAAAGCAACACCCCCACCTTGTCTCCCCTACCTGGTCTTCCTAAAGAGCCTGTATCCTTCCATTTCAAAATTCAGGTTATAGGAGCCATCTCACCATGCCCTGAAGGTGTGTACATGTTCCCTGACTTCTCTTGTTTATTCCCTGTGCTGTATGTGTTTGCTCAGAGGCTTTTAAATCGGGTTCTGATGCAGTTGACTTGCTGGCTGGAATGGCTGGAATTCCTTTTTGCTGCTCTTCATGTGCTCTGCTGACCTGTGATCCCTCTCCAGGCTCTGGGCATCTTTTGCTGGCCCTGTCACCAGACTGGTATAAGCGGAAGAGTTTGATGTTCCCATCCCATGGTAACTTTAATTTAAAGCCCTCTTCACCCACTTGCCAAGTTCATGACTGAAGATGCTCTTCTCTGACAAATGGAGCCCATCAGTCCGCAGCAGACCAGGTTTCTCAAACTGAGTCTCATGGTCATCTTTCTCTGAATTTCTAATTTTTTTCACTTTTTGAAATAGCTTATGATTGCATTCTCTGCCTCCATTAAAAAAATATCTCTATTGCTACTGTATTTCACTTATACTCTATAACACTTATATTATTTAATTATGAGAATAGTTCTGGGAAATAGTATAATGAAAGGCATTATACAAAGCAAATGTACATCCTGTTATAATTTGGTTTGGTTACTGCACTGTGTTTATATGCTTCAAGTCTTTCTTCCCTAATAGTTAAATTCATTTATGTCACAGATGCTTGATTATTGGTCTCCTGCCTCTTCTTAGAGGTACTGTAATTGAGCACCTGCGTGTGGGGACAGAGGGAATTGGGGGTTCTTGATTAATTTTCTCCAGCTATAAATTATTTATTGTCTTGTACCAATCTCTTGTCATCCTCTTTGGGACTCCTTTAAACTGTCAGAGATACCTATTTACTTCTAATTGATTGTTACTCTGTGCTCATTGAGTTTTCCTAGATGACAAACACGGAAGAAATATTAAAACTAGCCATATCTATTTGCAATAGGAAGAGGTGGTGTAGTATAAATTATTGCTAACAGTGGAGTCTAATCTTTTGAAGTACTGAATTCCAGGCAGGAAGATCACACTAGTCTCAAAGAATGGCTAGTGAGTTTAAACTTCCTGCTGCAGCTGACCCAGTTTGAGCAGAGGGATGGACTATCTGAACTCCAGAGGTCCCTTCCCACCTCAGAAATTCTGTGATTCTGTGGCAGAGCTGGCTAAGCATCAAGTTATCTTTCTCATGAAAAATTAGGAAAGTGAATTTGACTCCTTACCATCTCATGCACAAAATTGGGCAGTCTCACCACTTGTCTGGTCTGTTTCTCTGCATGTAATATGAACCCAATGGTACTTGCCTTCTTCAGTATGGCACTTGCATATATGTTTAAAAAAAATAAATTCTTATTACATTTTATATTAATGTCATATTATAACTGTCTCTGTTTTAACATACTCTGTCTTCAGAATCCACCAGTCATTTATCTCACAAGATTAATGAGACACTGAAAAAAGAACCCCAGCTCTCCAGATGTTAATTTTGTCATTCCGGCTTACAAAGCCCTTGAATAAGAGAAGAAAAAAAATTATCTTGCTACAGGAAAATATTGTCCACTGTCATCTGGAAAAACACTCTACCTGAAAATATCCAGAGAACAGGAGTAGCTGTTGCCTCATGAGAGCAGAATCATTCCCAATCAATAGGAGGTCAAAGGTATGGCACCAGAAAAGTCAGGAAGATGATAACATTAGGAGGAGCCAGTGGAACTGTTAGCAACATGACACTGAACTGAAGGCTCAGTACACTTATAAATGGATTACTGTGAGCCAACATCATCTGTGGAAAACATCAGGATACAGACAACTCGTAACTGGCTACATAAGTGACTTTAAAAATATTGTAGGGAGCCATGACAGAATCTATAACTATCTACAGGAATATTTTAGTTATATCAAGAGTGGGGTTTTTTTTAAAGCATTCAAATCAATATAGCTACATTTTACTATACTGAACTTACCAGAGTTGAGAAAAATGTCACCATTCACCATATCATCTCTATTGGAAACTGTGGATCCTACGTTCTGAAAAAATGTTCTTGTTGGAAAGGAAACTTTAAAAATTAGGACACTCATGTCTGCCTAGAAAATATTTATTTATATAGTACAGGAGGACAGCATACTCAAAATACACATTGTCACACAGGATGCGTACAGGGGCTTATCAGCAGGGATCCAAAGCTATACCATCCCATTAGGTTTTAATGGAAAGAAAAAATGATGATACATAACATACTGCTATATCTAAAGCCCCTGTCACAGTGCTGCTGGCATGTCATTGCTCAGCTTTGATCAAATTACTTTACATCCATATTTTACACACGTGATGAGAGATCCTCAAGAAGATAATCAAACTCCTCTTTCCTGGACAGTCAAATAAATTCTTGTATCCCCTTTTCAGTAACTACTTGCATACATTTCAAATGGTCTATTACAGCTAAAAGTATTCACTGGAAAGTAAATTATATAGTCCCTTCTCCATATTAGTGCCACATGCCATTAGCACCCTTTTCTGAAACCTATAGGCAAAGAACATGCGATGGAACACAAAACCTGCAACAATTACTTATAAATTACTTATCTGACTATTTTTCCAATAGTATATTCATCTTAGAGTATTATTAACTCCATTCTAAAAGAATGAAGCTATTTAGTAGGACGTGCTTTTACACATTTTAGTTCATAGGCATTTGTAATTACACTTGAATTAAAAAAAGATATCTGCAATGGTATTTGTTCATTCCAATGTATATTCACTCTCTTTTAAGAACAGAACTCTTTCAGAGAGAGATGGCTCTTAATGCCAAACATATTTTTTATATTTAAATACAATTACACCAAAAATAAAATCATCATAACAGAGTACCCATGTATACATTGTAATTATTTAAAGGAAGAATAAGAAGATTCACTCGTTTAAACACAAGGCGTGAAAGACTGGGGTTTTCATTTTCTAACCAAGTATATTGATAGTATTTTAACTAAGCCATCATCTTTATTACACTTCTGCAAAGACCTCATCATAAACCAGTGGTGCTTAAGGCATACTAAAATTTTAAGCATTTTCTCTCTCAAAGAATTAGCACAGTGCCCCTCTGGCACTGTTTTGAAATTCTTCATTTGCTCCATAAACATTAAAATGCTGGCAGAGCACAAGTGTAAAGAGAGAACACCAAATAAGCATTATTTAACAGCATTCAAAATCAGCCTAATTGTTCTAAATGATTCATTGAAGGTACCTATCATGTAAGAC